GCCGTCGGGAACCCAGGCCCACCTCTACCGGGATGGAGCCACCTGCCCCTTCAGCCCCCATCTCCGAACAATATCATAAGTAATGTAACAGTATCAAGTATATAGCATATGCCCGTGATCACCTCCTAAAGTGATCACGACCCAGTAGTATAGCATGGCAGACGGACAAGAGTGTAGGGCCACTGATGATAATCTAGCATCCCATACTAAGCATTTAGGATTGCAGGTAAGGTATCAACAGTTGTAGCAACAATGACAGGCTATGCATCAGAATAGGATTAACGGAAAGCAGTAACATGCTACTCTACTCTAATGCAAGAAGTAGAGAGAAGAGTAGGCGATTTCTCGTGATCAAAGGTGGGGCTTGCCTGGTTGCTCTGGCAAGAGAGAGGGGTCGTCAACACCGTAGTCGTACTGGGTAGCAGCGGCGTCGGTCTCGGTGTCTAGCGAGACAAGAGGGGGAAGAAACAATAAATATAATGCAAACAAATGCATGATGATGTATTACATGATAAAGCGTGATGATAGATGTGCCCTAACGCGGTATGAGATGGTACCGGTGAAGGGGAGAAACATCCGGGAAAATATCCCCGATGTTTCGCATTTTCGGGTAGATGAACCGGAGGAGAAAAGTTGCATGTTTTCTATTCTAGGGATAGGTGGCGGACGAACGAACCGCGTATTCGGATCCGTCTCATCGTTCTGAGCAACTTTCATGTACAAAGATTTTCGATCCGAGCTACGGATAAATTTCTACAATTTTCCAAAGTTTCGAAATATTTTCTGGAATTCCTGAAAATTGGCTAAGTCCTCAGTTTTAAACATCACTTAGTTGTTTTGCAGAGGCCATAGATAGCATTCTGTACATCCTTTGAATTAGTGCTTTATATCAAATCTGGGCACTCTGCTGTGATCTACATAACAGTCTCAGGTCCATCTACATTAGTGTCCATTTGCTTGCTCAAATATTTGTTTCAAAAGTGCTATTGGATGTTATTTCCAGAATCTGTTTCTCAGTTCTTCCGGTTAACAGAATATAGATATTTGTCATTTTCATAGGAATTAAACCACGCACTATCTGAAGTAGGTCCAATGGAACAAAATGAAGCTTGTTACATCTACTTTTCGTTTATATAAATTTTACCCATGTTAGGACTTGTCTTATCGCTGTTTAGGGGCTGTTTAGCGGGCTAGTCATTGCAGAAATACGAAAGCTAACTACTGCTACAGTAACATTCAGTTACTGTAGCAGAGCAGCATGCAGTGGGCGCGCACACACTACACACTACACGGACACTCTACACAGGGCCGGCCAGAGGCACATAGCCGGCCACACACGGCCATGTATAAGGGCCTAACGGCCATGGCCAAGAGCGGCAGCAACAACGAATACACAGCGGCAGCAGCAGTACGCAGCGGCATCAGCAGTAGCGGCGGCACAGCAGCAGCCTAGCGAAGCAAGCAGCAGCAGCAGGGAGCAGCGCCGGGCACGACGTCGCGCGCGCGGACAGCGGCTGCTAGCGACGGCGGCAACGGCCGGGGTGACCAGGATGCGGCCAGGCGCCTACATGCGGTCAGGAGAGGCCGAGGGCGCGCGCGGCTGGAGCATGCGGCGCGCGCGCAGACATGGACGGGCAGGGGCGTGCCCATGGGTGGCTGGGCGCCCACGAGCGTGGCTGCGACCACGGAGCTCTAGTGGCCGTGACGAGCGCGGACGAAACATCTACAATGGAAAAACTAGAAGGGGGCGAGGGGGGAAGCGCAGTTCACCGCGGAGCTCGGTGACGCGCTCGGGGAGGCCGGGGACGGCTCGACGGCGACGCAATCGATGGCGAGGTGCCGCAGCCGTGAGTGGAGAAGATGCCTCGATGGCGGCGATCCGGCGCTCCCCCGCTTGATCTACTGCTTGGAATCGACGGAGATGAGGCGGGCGGAGCTCCTAGAAGTCTCCACGAGGCTCGGGGAGGTCCCGGAGCACGGCTACAAGGCGGCGGCGACGACGGAGCTTTGGTCAACGGCTTGATCTGGAACGAGAGAGTGAGGGAGGGGTTACTCGAGGGCTAGGGTTGGGTGCGGGGTCAAAGGAGGTCGCGGGGTCGACTTGTAGTCGGGGAATGGGTGTGGATGATCGCCACGCACGACCATCGCCGGCGGATGGCTGCCAGCGCGAGAGGGAGATGACGAGTGGGGGTGGCTGGGCCGCTTTTTGTTTAATGGGCCAAGTTTCCAGTAGTTTAGGTCCCTTTTTTCCATTTTCTCTTTCCTGTCTTTTCTTTAATTAGAGCTTGCAAATGAATTATGTTAAATGTGCAAATTAGCACATAAATATTAGGTAATATTTTGGGCTAGTCCAACAAGTTTCAATATTTTTGTCTAGATTACATATTTATTTAAATTATATTATTTCAATAAAAGCTTTATGGGTCATTTTTAAAATAGTCTAGGGGCCTTATAATAGTCTAGAGGCATTATAATACTTTGAAAAATGTAGATTCTTTCATGAAAATTTGTTAGTGAATATTTTCAACCTAACCCACATTTGTAATTTACCATTTGAAAACTTTTATAGTTTGACTTGATTTTAAATTAGAATTTGAACAGGGTTTGAAACAACGTGAGTATACCAACAGTAAATGTGTGTGGTGACGTGGCCTCATTAGTAGAGGGTTACTGTAGCTTAATTATCTGGGCGTCACAGGTCCACTCTCCTCAAATACTTAGGATCAAAAAAAATTCTTAGTTTCTTGAATACCCAAAAAATCCAGGGAATGATCTTTAATAATGTCAGAGAAGCAGGTAGCCATTCCCTTCTTTCCTGCCCCTCTACGATTCCAAAATAGGCCATTTATGTTGGATTTTTCTTTTTAGGTCCCCCCTTTCTGGTAGCCTTACTAGGAGACACAGCAGGGCTTCCAGCTTTTCTCCACACATAGGTTCCATTTTTTGACTTCTAGTAGTGGGTCTAGCTATAATAACAGTAGGTTTTCTTTCTTTTTTTCTAGACCTCACCACCGTAAACTTTCCTTCTTCCTCATCATTCACATCCACCCATTCCATCCTCAAAGGTGTCCGGTCCCCTTTTCCAT